ATGATCATCTCATACAACAATTTATATCTCATCACGTCTTGACCATATCACATGCTCTGCAAAAACAAGTTAGACGTCCTCTACTTTGTTGTTGCAAGTTTTACGTGGCTGCTACGAGCTTCTAGCAAGAACTGTTCTTACCTACGCATCAAAACCACAACGATTTTTCTTCAAGTGTGTTGTTTTAACCATCAACAAGGACCAGGCATAGTCAAACTCGATTCAACTAAAGTTGGAGGAACAGACACCCGCCAGCCACCTGTGTGCAAAGCACGTCGGTAGAACCAGTCTCATGAACGTGGTGATGTAATGTCGGTCCGGGCCGCTTCATCCAACAATACCGCCGAATCAAAGTAAGGCGTTGCTGGTAAGCACTATCACAATTATCGCCCACAACTCATCGTGTTCTACTCGTGCATATAACATCTACACATAGACCTGGCTCAGATGCCACTGTTGGGGAACGTAGTATTTCAAAAAAATTCCTACGATCGCGCAAGATCTATCTAGGAGAAGCATAGCAACGAGCGGGGAGAGTGTGTCCACGTACCCTCCTAGACCAAAAGCGGAAGCGTTTAGTAACGCGGTTCATGTAGTTGAACGTCTTCGCGATCCAACCGATCCAAGTACCGAAAGTACGGCACCTCCGCGATCAGCACACGTTCAGCTTGGTGACATCCCTCGAACTCTTGATCAAGTTGAGGCCGAGGGAGAGTTCCATCAGCACGACGGCATGGTGACAGTGATGATGAAGTTAACGGCGCAGGGCTTCGCCTAAGCACTACGGAGATATGACCGGGGTGTGTAACTGTGGAGGGGGGCACCGCACACGGCTAAGAGAAACTTTGGTGTGACTTTGGGGTGCCCCCCCTCCCACGTATAAAGGGGAGGGGGAGGAGAGGAGGCCGGCCATTGGTGTGGCGCGCCAAGGGGGGAGTCCTACTTGGACTCCCGGTCCAAGTAGGATCCGACCCCCCCCCCCTTTCCTATTCCCACAAGAAGAAGGGGGAAAGAGGAGGAGGAGAGAAGGAAAGGGGGGCCGCCCCCCAACCCTAGTCCAATTCGGTTTGGGCTTGGGGGGCGCGCGCCTCCACCTGGATGCTGCCTCCTATCTTCCGCTAGGGCCCACGAAGGCCCATTAACCCCCCGTGGGGTTCCGGTAACCTCCCGGTACTCCGGAAAATACCCGAAACACTTCGGAACCATTCTGGTGTCCGAATATAACCTTCCAGTATATCAATCTTTATGCCTCGACCATTTCGAGACTCCTCGTCATGTCACAAGATCTCATCCGGGACTCCGAACAAACTTCGGTACATCAAATCACATAACTCATAATACAAATCATCATCGAACGTTAAGCGTGCGGACCCTACGGGTTCGAGAACTATGTAGACATGACCGAGACACATCTCCAGTCAATAACCAATAGCGGAACCTGGATGCACATATTCGCTCCTACATATTCTACAAAGATCTTTATCGGTCAAACCGCAAAACAACATACGTTATTCCCTTTATCATCGGTATGTTACTTTCCCGATTCGATCGTCGGTATCATCATACCTAGTTCAATCTCGTTACCGGAAAGTCTTTACTCGTTTCGTAATGCATCATCTCGTAACTAACTCAATAGTCACATTGCTTGCAAGGCTTATATTGACGATCATTACCGAGAGGGCCCAGAGATACCTCTCCGATACACGGAGGGACAAATCCTAATCTCGATCTATGCCAACTCAACAAACACCATCGGGGACACATGTAGAGCATCTTTATAATCCTCCAGTTACGTTGTGATGTTTGATAGCACACAAGGTGTTCCTCCAGTATTTGGGAGTTGCATAATCTCATAGTTAGAGGAACATGTATAAGTCATGATGAAAGCATTAGCAATAAAACTAAACGATCATAGTGCTAAGCTGACGGATGGGTCTTGTCCATCACAACATTCTCTAATGATGTGATCCCGTTCATCAAATGACAACCCATGTCTATGGTTAGGAAACTTAACCATCTTTGATTAACGAGCTAGTCAAGTAGAGGCATACTAGGGACACTCTGTTTGTCTATGTATTCACACATGTACTAAGTTTCTGGTTAATACAATTCTGGCATGAATAATAAACATTTATCACGACATAAGAAAATATAAATAAAAACTTTATTATTGCCTCCAGGGCATATTTCCTTCAATCGCTAAGTGGAAGCGTTTATCACATGATTGATGTAGTCGTACTCTTCGCGATCCGATCACGATCCAACCGATCTAGTGCCGAACGAACGACAACTCCGAGTTTAGCACACATGCGGCTCGATGATGTCTCCTCCTTCTTGATCCAGAAAGCGGGAGAGGAGAAGTAGATGGTATCACAGCCAACATGACGTCGTGGTGGTGATGGTGGTGGTGGAGCACCAATAACGCTTTGCTAAGCGTCACCGGGATGAGGCGGAGGAACTACGGAGTAACGGGAGAGAGAGGGGCGCCAAGGGCTTGGTGTGTACTCTTGGGGCACCCCTCCCCTCTATATATAGGTGGAGGGGCATGGGAAACAGCCCCTCCAAGCCCTAGGGCGCAGCTAAGGGGGAGAGGACTTGGGCTCCAAATCCAATCCTATTCCTACTAGGACTCCTTCCTCTTTTGCCTTCCCTAGCCACATGGGCTTTTGGGGACTTGGTGCGCCTAGCCCAATAAGGCCAGGGTGCCTCCCCGGAGCCCATGCTAGCCCTTGGGTTGTGGTGGACCCACTTGTGGACTTCCGGACCCCTCCGGAATCCTCCGGAACCTTATAGAAGCTTCTCGGTACAATATCGAAAAAACTGCACCTTTTATCGAAACCCAAAATATGACTTCCCATATATAAATATTTACCTCTCGATTCTGAGACTCCTCATGATGTCCCGGATCTCATCCGGGACTCTGAACAACATTTGGTTACCACTCATCAAATATCCCAATACTACTCTAGCGTCAACGAACGTTAAGCGTGCAACCCTGCGGGTTCGGGAATTATGTAGTCATGACCGAGACACCTCTCCGGTCAATAACCAATAGCAGGACCTGGATGCCCATATTGATTCCTACATATTCCACAAAGATCTTTTATCGGCTGAACCTTTATGACAACATACATAATTCTCTTTGTCTGTCGGTATGTTACTTGCCTGAGATTCGATCGTCGGTATCTTTATACCTAGTTCAATCTCGTTACTGGCAAGTCTCTTTACTTGTTTCGTAATACATCCTCTCATAACTAACTCCTTAGTCACTTTGCTTGCATGCTTCTTGTGATGCTGTATTACCTAGAGGGCCCAGAGATACCCCTTCGATACACGGAGTGACAAATCCCAATCTCGATCCATGCCAACTCAACAAACACCTTCAGAGATACCTGTAGAGCATCTTTATGATAACCCAGTTACATTGTGACGTTTGATAGCACACAAGGTATTCCTCCTGAGTCCGGGAGTTGCATGATCTCATGGTACTAGAAACATGTATTTGACATTAAGAAAGCAGTAGCAATAAACTGAACGATCATATGCTATGCTAACGGCTGGGTCTTGTCCATCACATCATTCTCCTAATGATGTGATCCCGTTATAAAGCGACAACACATGTCTATGGTTAGGAAACTTTAACCATCTTTTGATCAACGAGCTAGTCTAGTAGAGGCTCACTAGGGACACGATATTTGTTTATATATTCACACATGTGTTTAAGTTTCCAATTAATACAATTCTAGCATGAATAATAAACATTTATCATGAATAAGAAAATATAATAATAACAACTTTGTTATTGCCTTTAGGGAATATTTCCATCAGTCTCCCACTTACGCTAGAGTCAATAATCAGTTCACATTGCCATGTAATTTGTTATGATTTAATTAATCCTATTAATCCCTGCTTTTCCTAACAGAGGCGGTGGCCTCACATCCCTTTCGCATCCATTCAGAGGACAAGGCGTCGATCGTGGTGGCGGCAACAGCGCAGCAACATGCAGAGCCAGCGCCATGGAGCATTCGAATCAGCCATGAAGAGGCCGGCGGAGCAAGTCATCGATGGACATGCAGACATGCAGAAATCCAACTTGATTGTCTATTTGCGATTAACATGATCTTTTGGCTGATCGTTTTTCTCTGAATTAATAATGCGATTGTATGAAATCACTACTACATCCTCGAGACGGTGGTTACACACGGCCCGGCCGAACGAACAACGACAACGCCGGGCATGGCTCGGTCCAAGCGCAAGGCGAGATCGCGACCGCGACGTCCGGTTGATCGGCGGCCGCTGATCGCCTGGGTGTGGTGGCGATGCTACAAGCCGCCGGCTTCAAGATACCGCACAGACGCTGATCAAGAGGGGAAGCTCTACAGGCAAAAGGGGGTCCGTCTACAGGCAAAAGATGGAGCGCCTTCTTATAACGAGCGCTGGCCGCGGCGCGCGCGAACCTTTCCCGCACGTTGGAGCGCCAAAACCAAGGCGACGGCATGGCCGCTGGCATGATCTAAAGCGCGCGCGGTCATGAAATGATCGGCCCGTTGAGCGCACTGCCGACCAAAAATAAAAGAGGACGGACAACGGGCGGGCAGCCAACCAAACGGACAAAAAGCGGACAAAAACGCCGTCTATTTGGGTCGGTCCATTGGAGTTGCTCTAAGAGTTCATTACAATAGACAAGTACCACAAGAGTTCATTACATTAAGCAGACATATACCCAAGATTGTGCAGCAGCGATAGAACACAATCGTCCAATCCAAAATCAACGGCCAGATCTACATGAACAGTGGCAGTTCTACAGTGTTCGATCTACAGTACCCCACCTATAGTGATCTATGCTACAGTACCACGTCAACAGTGCTTTGCGCTACAGTATTCGATCTGAGCTGCTCACCCCTGATCCAACGGTTGGCTGGCCGCCAGTTACGACGTGCCTTGCTGTGGGCAAGGCACTGGATCTCATCCATTCAATAGCCCTCCCACCTCGACCACCTTTATGTCTGCTCATCAAGCTTAACTTGTGCCTGTACAAAATAAAACAACTATTGATTTGACAAAAAAAAAACTACAAGATACACTTTCTTTTCGATCAAGAATACACTTTCGGATATTCTCTAATAGTTGATTTGTAAAAACAACTATTGGTTTTGTGCTCTTCTTTGGCGGTGTTCGTGCTCGAGTACTTCTTGGTGTGTCTCTGCTAGGCGGTGCCCTGCGACTACGCCGGTGGCACAGAGGTGCTGTGGCGTCGTCTCGGCCTCGCGTGCCCTTTCGAATGTACCCCCGACACAGGTGGTGTCGCGGCGTTGTGCAGTCTCGGATGCGTGGTGTCTTTCGATTGCGTCGACGGTGCAGTGTCGTCGTTTGGTCTGCTAGGGGACGCCCCTCGACTACTCCGGTGGCACACAGGAGCTGTGGCGTCATCTCGACCTAGCGTGACCCTTCGAATGTGCCCCATGACACAGGTGGTGTCGCGGCGTTGTGCAGTCTCGGTTGCATGGAGCCTTTCGATTGCGTCGACGGTGCAGTGCCGTGGGTTGGTCTCGGCTAGCCGATGCCGTTCGATTATGCCGGTGGTGCTCTTTGTTGTGTTTTGTTGACCTTCCTTGTTCTCACCTGCTAAGTGTGTTGTTAGTGTGTGTCTTTTTCTTTATCTCTTCCCCCTGTGCCCTCCTGTACCTCT